CAGAGACAGCCCTGCCGGATCTCTCCTGCCCATCCCTGCAGGACCATCCCTGCCGGCTGTCTCCTGCCCTATCCCTGCAGGGCCATCCCTCCTGGCCCGGCCCCACTCCCGCTGTCCCCTTGGGGCTCGCAGGGCTGTTTCTCGCTCACTGTTCCTCGCTCAGCCCTGCCTTGCCCAGGCTTTCCCCGGGGCTGAGGGGCTCAGCCGTGCCCTGCGCTGGGGCCGGCCCGGCAGCCCGGGCAGAGCCAGCACCAGGACAGCTGCATCCAGCCGGGGAGAGGATGGTCTTGTCTGGATTTACAGCGCTGTAGGTTTTTTTTTCGTTAAGGTGAGATAAAGTTTTTAGATGCTCTCAGAAGGACAGGAAAAAAAATAAATTAAAGGGTCAAACTCTAGGCAGAATGTTGTCAGTGCTTTGGAATACAGGAAGCCATGAATTATTTATGTCTGACTTCCCAGTATGTTCCCAAAAGGCTGGTAGTATTTTCCCTGTTCATCTGTCTATGATCGCCTAAGATTTTAATTCAGTTCTCTCAGGAGTCTGTTTATGCTCTTACAGAATTTCATCTGTGATTTTGTGGCATAGATAGAAAATAGTGTTGCTGTTGATTAAATGTAACCAAGTTACTTATAGTAGTTACTCAGCTATGGTGTACTCTCTTAAGATGCTCAGCTTTTATTTTTCCTCTTCTACTCCCTGTAACGTTCCCTTTGTTTTTGGTGCTAAGTTCCCAGGAGTACGGGTTAAAAGGCTATCAGCCAACTTACTTTATGATGAAAAATAAAAAGAATTGGGGTGGCTTTTTTAGAGAAGGGAAGCCAGAGAGGAAGGAAAGGTACTATGGTCATTATCATTATGTGGGAAAATCCTTTTTTGAAGACAACTGATGGAATTGTTAGGCTTTTTGTGCCCATGCTGGACAGTGGAGGAAATGGAGATTAAATGCATTACATTAAACAGCAAAGCGAGTTTTCTGCTGATAAGGCCAGTGGAGCCTGGTGCAGAGGGAGGTGGCTAAGAAAGGCTGCATTGAGAGAGGCTGTGCAAAAGCGGTTCTGTGTGTTAAATATGTGAAATGACAGGAAAAAAACTGCCTTGTCTAGAGATTTGGTAGTGGGTTAGGGGTGCAGATGATCATTTCAACCATATTTTTTTGTAATTCTACAGTACTAGCAGTTTTAGGTCCCACTGAAACCTAAGAATGTAAAATTTGTTATGCTGAAGACTGAGCTAAATTAAAAGTTCATTTCTGAACAGATGTGCAAGTGTGAGTGCTGATGTTTGCTATTGAAACACTATTTCATGTTGCTGAGTCGTGCTTTTTAAATCTACTGTACCTTTAGTACAGTTGTGTTTCTGTTGCTTGTGAAAATTCATTTTGTGTTTCCTTTCTGTATGGTATTTCTCATACAAATTTATGTAATGAAAAAGTGACTGTCAGAGTCTATAATGTCAACAGTTCAGCTGGATATCACAGACGTGTAGATCCAGGGACACTGGCCTACTAAGTGCTATTGGCTGCAATCTTTCCCCTTGAAGAACTGTAGTAATAAATGAACTCATGTGATAGATGTTTGAAATTGCATTCTTTGTCCAGAAGAAATATTTTAATAGGGGCACAAAACATTTATGTAATGTCAGAGACATTTATTTTGATTACTCTGTTTCTAGATGAAGAGGACATGTGCAGCATGCCTTTTTTTCCTCTTTTTCTTTCCTCCTCTTTTAATATCTATATTAAAAAAAAAAAATATGGAAATGTGCAGTGATTGCAGAATGTTAGCGACTGTCCAGATATTGAACCTATTTGAAGCAACTACAATTTAGGACAGTAGTTGATTGTGTAATCACATTTTTTTTTTTTTTCATTTAAACTGATGTTTGCAAATGTAGATTACTAAAGCAGTTATTGAAGCATTTTTTGGTGAAAACAGAGTTTTCAAAAAACTTATCGTCTAAATTTAAAATTTACTGAAATTGAATGTAGCCCTAAAAGAAGTTAACAATAGCAGCAGGCAGTTGCTGCCTGTGTCTCATGGATGTAATTGTTTTGAGCTCACATAAACTGTTGTTGTTGTACCAGTAGCATCTTTTTGCTCACAGAGTGGCTTCCCTGATGGCCATGCAGCCTTGCAGCCCCTTTCAAATACACTTTAGATATGCTAGGGCAAATATTTTGTGAGGTGGGACTGCTGCGCTGGTCCTTGCTCATGTGCTTACATCCCATGGGCTCCTTCAGATTTCACAGGCTATGGAGTTGATAGCAAGGGGTGTTGCATTTCAGTGATTTCTGCAAATATCACTCTACAAAATTAACTATCAGGCAATAAAATCAATTATTAGCCATTTGTAATTTTTTTTTTTTGGTATGTAAATTACCACACCAAAAAGAAAACTACTTTTGTTTCTACTATGATAATGTAATTATTAATTTACTAAGAAAATAAAATTACTAGTTTGTTTGCAAACAAGATAACAGGTGAAAGATTTATATGTGTGTGCCTACATGTCTTTTCTCTGGTGCTTTACAAGATGGCAGCAAGTTTAATTGTATGTCACAAATTAGTTAAATTCCTATAACAGAAGCCAGTACTTTTGTTAAAAGAAACCAAGAAAATATAATTCAAGAAGTCCTTTTAGACTGAGGTATCAGAATTATTAAGAAGTTTTGTTTGGTCTGCTTGCACATGTGATAGAAGAAGGCAGATACGTCCCTCAGGGTTTCTGTGGGAATCCAGGGCTTCCCTCTGGCTGCCCTGGCAGGTCTGGGACCCTGACAGGGGTCAGGAACCCCCCTGAACAGAGCCCCGAGAGACACTGTCTGTGATCTCTGTCCATGGAGAGGAGTTTTCAATCTTACAGGATGAATTACAAGCTTTGAGTGTTTGATAAGAGTAATAATTAAGTGTGACACGGGTGCAAAAGTAAAATTTTTGGTTTCTAGATTAGGGGTTCAGAGGGGACAAGATGGAGGAAATTGGGTGTGTCTTGTCCTTTTCCTCCTTCTTCATGCCCTCCATGTTTCACTGTAGTGTTGGCATTTTTCTATTGGTTTAGGCTGGGGACAGGCTGTTCAACGTAGATGATAGATATTGGCACATTTTTGTAAATATAGTACATGTAGTTTCTGGTATATAATGTTTGTACCATCCCACTGAGGGCAGAGCCCCGCACGCTGCCCTGCAGGACAGACCTGCGGCAGGGCAGCAGAACATGTTATAGATAAGCAAGAATAAACAACCTTGAAAACAGCACAGACGAATTATGGCTTCTTCTTTGGCAACGGGGCAGAAAGACAGAGACGTTCTACAATCTCGGAATCACCAATACCCACAGATTCCGACAAATGGCGTCCCAGGCTGGGCTTCAGCAAGAAGAACAAGAAGAAACACCAAACAACCTCCAACCTTCATTAGCAGAGAAAAAAAAAAAATAAAGAAAGGAAGAAGAACAGAGCACACATGCTCTCTGCAAATTCCAAAAGGAGAGGGAAGCCCTGGATTCCCACAGGTTTCCTAGTTTAACATCAAATAATGTTTGTGTCTGAAGCAAGGGCATTACCAGAGCCAAAGATTTGGTATTGTCAACAAGACTTGCTTACAAAAAGTCAGCTGTATGAAAATATGTAGCTTCTTTAAGTAAAATTATATATAACCACATTCTTCAATATATAAACTAGCCTAGCCTGAGATTTAGGGAGATTTTTCTTCTAACAAATAACTGTCTCTTTTATGAATAATCTGTTTTCATGTGTTTGTCTTGCATATGTATGCCAGTGTCTTGAGCTTCAGGAAGCTTTGGAAAAATGCTACTCAGCTGGGCTAGCTGTGTCTTTTTGGGCAGCATTGTGGCTTCAGAGAAAAAGCTTTAGAGAATGTCATTGCCTTCTTTTAGAGCTCTAATTTCCATGGCATAATGATGCAGGGATGCCTGGGCTGGGTGTTGAATTTTATATTTGTTTTTCCCAGCTACTCTTTTCTACTGTTTTCAGTCTTCTCACTTCTTCCAGAAAAAGCTCTATTATTATATATTTTAGCAGAATAGAGCCAAGACAGGACTTTTGCTTCTTATGCAAGTGATGACTACTCTGAATATCCCCACTGCTCTTTATGAGGCTCACCCAGATGGCAGCCTGTGGGCCACTTCTCTTGCACAGAATGATTCTGGCCAGCTCCCACAAGAACACGATTTTTTCCTATCGTGCCTGTGCATGACCATGCAGGCTGCCTCTCTGCTTCGTTACTTCTGGAATGTGGCACAACGTGTCTATCTCTGGAGATGTGCCTATAGTGACATTTAAACAGAGATACTGCACTATAGCTTAGCCATCAGACAGATAAATCATTCCACAGCCACACTACTGTTTTGCTCTCTGAAAAGAAATGCTAGAAATGCCATCAAATGCTAAGACTCTTCTTCTTTTTTTTTTTTTTTTTCCTTTTTTTATTGGTAAGAGATCTTAATAATGGCTTAACAACTGGTGTGCTGTTTTACATAAAAATACTCAGATAAAATATTGGCAAAATCACATTCTAGACTAGAAGAAAGTGTATGAAAGTTACAGAGGCTTAAAATATAATATATGTTAAATAAAAATATGTGTTAGCAAGTAAACACTAGATAGTTTATACTTCTCTCATGTATGATTTTTGGGTTTTCTCTTTGCAAAGCATTTCATGATTCATTACTTTCATGATACTCTAATTTTATGCTGTAAGCTGCCACTGGAATTCTGAAAAAAATCACAGCTATAAATTATTTGACTCTTCCCAAATGTACTGATGGTAACTATTTCATAGTAAGACTAGGATATAAATGAATATTTTTTTTTAATTCAGAAACTGTTTATGTTTTAAATGAGTGATATATTCTACAGTACAGAACAGAAGCATATTCTATAATTTTTACCTTAAATGAGTGTTATTATTCTTGTATTTATATGAATATTTATCAGGTTTATGATAACAAATCCATTGTTTTATTTTTCCATGAACTGCAGAAACTATGCCTGTTCCAGACCAGCCCTCGTCTTCTGACAAGACAAGTTCCCTTAGTCCTGTGTTGAACACATCCAATGGTGATGGCTCTGAAACTGAGACAACCTCTGCCATTCTAGCTTCAGTCAAAGAACAGGTAGGCAAGTGATGCACCTGTAGGCTGGAAAACAATAGTACAATTTACTGTGGGTTTTTTTACAAATTTTTCATAGCTGGTATCTGAATAATTTAGTTCACAAATGCTTATCACAAAGAATATTAACAATTTCTTCATGTCTTAGTATACTTTCTGTAAGCTTTCCTACAGTTAATTTAATATAGTTTAATTGAATTGCTCATTTTATTCTCCACTTTCACACCTTACTGTGGATGGTGGTTTTCTGATGTCTCTCCTTTTATTATTGGGAGTTTGCATGTGGAGTTACAGTAAACTGGCATGTAAGACTTATAGACAAATTAATTGTGGAGAAGATGTTTTATTATAAAATTTTGAAAGGATTAGTAAGAGCCCTAGGATTTTTAAATTTATATACATGTTTTTGGGGGTTTGTGTAAAACCTGATGTGAGATTATTTCAGGGCAAAACTGGGTATAGAAATAGGCACTCAGTTTTGGATGATTAAAACAAAAATATTAGACATTTTCAAGGAAGAGGTCTTCAGTGTGATGGTTTGCTTGATGCTAATAAGACAAGCTTGGACATTTTAATGTAAATTTTTGTGGGCTGAATGTCAGAGATTTTGCTTTTATTGCCTTTTTGTGCTTTAGGAGATGGTTAATATTTCAGTTAATGCAAACAACTGGTCTTTGTCGCTACCTTCTTTGGTTTGACAGCATCAACAGGAATTCCAAGGAGAGACGTTAAAATCAGCTGCTTTTAGGCAGCTTTGTCCTTGCTGAAGGTGTTTAAATTGGTTCTTCCTTTATCAAGTACTGATCTTTCCCTGCCAAAGACATTCACTGGTTCTTGATTTAAATTAATGCATGAATTCAGCTTATGATATGTCTCAGCACTGGAGTAATAGCTCTTGAGTCTTAGAGGTTTTATAAAAATTATAACATTGCTCTTCCTTCATTTTTTTGTTATATGCCAGTTCTCTCTTTTGGATGGTAGAAGTTAGTCATATTTTCTGTTCTGAAGAGAGGAGTGCAAAAATGAAATCTTATAATGTGGAGTTTTGTCCAGAGATTTATGGCAAATCATTGGAATTGAAAATTGCCCATGGTTGAGATGTTTGTATTCTCTTCCATCTCAACGATATTTCTTGGGCATGTACCTTTGTTTCAGCCTGTGTCACTGCATATTTTGTAGAAAAATACCTGCCTTACTTTTTGACTCTTTGATGGTGAAAAAGTGTACAGGGAGGTTACAAAGAAAGAAGATATATCTGCATGTTGGAATGTGAATTGCAGTATGGAATAGTGACAAGAGGTTCTCTGTTTGGTGTTGTGATTTTCACTAGTTTATACCTGGTTATGTGTTTTACAAATGAACCTCCTGCCCCTATAAATCAATAGAGTACCAGAGGAAATTGCTGCTGAATCCACTAGATGGAAAGGATTTCGAGTGGTAATATTTTAGCAAAGTTATTTATGATTTCTGTAAACCACAGCAGAAAGGAGACTGTAATAAAGTAGTTCTGTATTCACTTATCACCAAGAACAGCCTAGCCAGCTAACCTAAGGTACTGCTGACTAAAAAGATAATGTCTTGAGCTATTGTGATACGAGGTATCAAAATTTAACAGATGTTCTCTTAAGGAAATTTGCTTCTTGGCCGGTATCTCTAGCCAGACCTATCTTGAAGCTGGAAGGCTGTACTATGCTCAAAAACAAGCCATAATGGTGGTAGTAGTAGTAGTAGTAGTAGTAGTAGTAGTAACAACAACAACAACAACAACAACAACAACAATAATAATAATAATAACCAACCCGCCCCCCCAACCAAACCTCCTTTCCAGCAATTTCTTTTTCCCCACAAGATTGTGCATTTTGACGCACTTCCATTATTTAATGCTGTGTTGGAAAAATTCTAGGTAATGCCACAATCCTGGTCTTCAGGCAGATGAAATACATTGCACTGATTCTCCATTATTGGAATAAATGAAGTTATGTTTCTAACTGGCTGTTGAAATGGGTAGCCACCTGCTTTTTAGAAGAAGTAAAGAGTTACTTTTCTGTCTGGTATGTGATTTTGCTCTACATGCTCTTTGACTGTAGCCGAAACTATATCTAGAGTTACACATATACAATTATTCAAAAGTACTGTCAATATTGAGAAATTAAGGTGTTTTTCAACATATCAGTCATAATTAGGATGGTTTTCAACTAATCAAGTATATTACATTTTCTTTTTCTGTGCCGATGCTTAGCTTTAAAATGTTTCCTTGCATTTTTCCCAATGAACACTTGGGGTAACTTCATGTGTTACTTCTCATAAAATAAATAGAACATTGTCACTGAGTGATGGTAATAAACTGTGGTATCTATGATACTGAAAAAAGTAAAAGTCATTTGCAATCTTTGAAGAGGGCAGGATATATGAAAGACACAGAGAAGTGGTAATAAATGTTGTATTTATTTGCTTTACTTGAATCTCCTATGTGAAACTTAAATGATGTGTCAGAAAATTTAAAGTTTTGCTGTGCTTAGTTTGAAAAACACATATCCCTGTGCTGTCACATTTTGCAGAACTGATTTATTGGGTCTAAAAATTTTATTGGGGCAAAAAATTGTGCTTGCTATGTCAGATGTAAAGTGACACACATGATTGTCATGACTCAGTAAGAAGATTTAGCCACATGCTTTTCAAGCTGAGGGTATCTGTCAAAAGAGAAATAGAAACCTGTATTTTGCTGTTGAGGAGTTAGGTTGATTTTGGGAAATGCAAATGCAGAACTCCTTGCTTTAAAATATAGACCATTTCATTTGTGCTTTAACTCTGGACAAGTGTGCTGATTCATGTTTGGGTTTCAGACTTCAGAGATGCTACTCAGAACTGATAGATATGGAACTTGAACCCATTCTTTATCCCTTGCTGTGAACTTCCTTAAGGTTAGACAGCACTGCTGGAGGCAAGGTCAGAAGTATTCACCATATGGCTAAGAAACTATGAGATGCCAGGCAGTGACCATTGGCTTAACTGTTTTTGAGTAGTCCTTATAAAAAGAAATAGTAAATAATTCTGTGAAAATGAAAGCTGCTGTTTTGGGATTTTTTGGTGTGGTTTTTGTTTGAGTTTTTTTAGACATTATCAAGTTCTTTAAAGAGAAATCAACCAATAAAGGTATAATTTCAGTTTTCCATGGAATGTATAAGAAGGAGTTTTTTTCTTTCTTTCTTATGATATGCTGGCAAACTCATTTGGCCCAATGCTTCACAGGTTTTATAAAACATAAGGCCATTTCTCTTTGCATTTTGTCGTTTGGTTTGGTATCAGTAAATATGGGAAAACTTTGACAAAAAAAGTGAGATATTAGGACTCTTAATTTATGTGATAGATGCAACTATTTCTGCAAGAAGTATGGTGTGCTTCTGATTGGGAATTTCCACCTGCAAAAGAGACTTCTGGGCCTACCTGTTAAAAAATATCCTGGGAAGAGAGCTATTGTTGATGCTCTTTTGAAAGTGGAAATGGCTGCTGGGGAACCTTTTGAGTAAATATGTAATGAAGCTGATGCTTTTCCTGGAAGTCTCCAGGCATATGTGATTCACAGTACTTGGTTCTTGGCATACAGAAAACTGCTCACTTGGAAGCTGAGGGGAATTGTAGTGACCAAGCAGAGGCTTGTTTTGGCAGATTTTATTTTTATAGGAACACTTGGAAATGATGACATAAATTAATTTCCTAGGAGTAAGATCCATCTTGAAGTACAAACAGCTATTTTCAACTTAGAAATATCATTATACATCTCTTTTATTTTATTTGTGGCTTAGATTCCTTTAGCATCTAAGTAGTAGGCTGTTTCAGAGAACAGCTTTCAATTTCAGAAAACTTAGGCAAAGAACAAGTTGTGCCAATGTTTAATATTTATTTTGAATCTTTTTTATATGTACCTATTTCAAATAAAGATACTTGTTTCCAGTTGCCTTTCTTAATTTCACTCTTTCAAGAAAAATGTTTAGACTAATCTTTTTGAAATATTTCCCACACTGTTCAAATAAGTAGTGATTGATATGTTCTTTAAATTATATTGCTTTTATAGTTGCTGGTGGCTTTTGGTTGTGGTTTTTTGGGTTGGGTTGTTTGGGGTTTTTTTGTCTTTGTAAGATGTGGGGTTTTTTTCTAAAATGGCTTATGTTGCTTTTATTATTTACTATTTTTCCACTAGAAAGCTACTTATTTGTCAAAAAATTATGGTTTGAAACTATATTAAAAATCACAGGACAATAATTACTAAGTGTTATCATTAATGTCAGTATTAAATAAGTGCAATATATCCGACTTAAGTAAACTTTTACATTAGGTGTTAGTATGCTTTGCAAACAGGGTTATGTATGCCATGCACGTCTTATATAGGTATGTGTAATCAAAACTGCAGATAGAAATGGCTGTAGGAGTTCAAAGATTTTTTTTTTTTTCCTTTGGTCTGCCAGGTTGTGTTTCTCATGTCCTTATATGATGATTGAAGTTTTAGGGGAAAAAAAAAACCATATCTAGATGAATGTTTCAATTCAGACTATTTTTTTATGGCCTTAAGTCCAGAAGAGGTGTTAAATCATCTAATCTGACCAGCAGGTCATGATATTTCATAGAGTCATCCAAGTTTTGGGCCCCCAATCTGATTACAGAATTACTGTTTTCCCTAATATAATGCATGCTATATTGTAATATGAAATATTCAGCAAAATAAAACCCCATTCTTTCCTTTTGGATACCAGTAATTACTCTAGTAGTATCAAGTGTTCAGCAGGTTTTCTAAGTAGGTTCAATTATGATATATTCATGTCTTGCCCTCAAACAGTGGGCTATGTTTCTGCCTTTAAAAGTTCAAACCAATGCTGATTCTAGACAATCAATAGATATTCCTTTCATAGTTTCTCTTAAGCAGCATGTCAATATATTCACTTCCTTAGTTATAGAAGTCCCTTGTTTCCAGTTGGGTTTTAAAGTATTCAAGAGAGATATTCCTCTTC